CTTAACCACTGCACTGTCCACTCTTAACCACTGCACTGTCCACACTTAACCACAGGGGGTCACTATTTTGCTTACAGGAGGTCACTATTTTGTTGGAATTAGAAGAAGAGTTAGCCCAAAACATACAAGGCCTGCTTGTCTGTATGTAACAATTTTACAATCAGTACCTTTCACATCTGGAATTCCCAAGAGTCTACAAAATAAATACATAGGCCCTCCATTCCAAAGTGACATGGTTCCTGTTTTAGGTTGTTTTACTGTAAGAGCGTTTCTCACTTAAGAAGACTATCTTAAGGGCTAAACTCTGCAATTTTTGATCTGGGAAAGGATCCAGAGAAAGCTGTAGAGCTGTGGAGGTACCTGTGAGGCTGGAGCAGGAGAATTGCTGTGAGTCTGAGTGTGGATTTATAGTGAGTTCCAGACCAGGCAGGGCAACAGAGTGAGACCCTACCCTAGAAGGCTACATTAAAAATAATAATAACAAATAAATAAGTTTTAGAAAAAGAAAAAGAGAACCTGGTGCTCAGAGCAGCCTCAGTTTGGACAGACACTTTCTTACCTACAGGACGGGTATGTTTGAACTGCTCCATGGCCTTGAAAAGTTGCAAGGCTTTAAAATTGAACACTGACATACAGTGCTTCTGATTTGCTCTAGATGCTTAAATGACAGTGAAAACTTGGGCATGCTGGTGGTCTGATGTCTCCTGCAAGGCTCTGCTCTTTGGGTTTTCAAACCTCTGTGACTCATACTCAGATTTTTCTCTTTCCTTGCCAGTCTTCCTACCCCTCCCGGTATTTTTCGTCATGCCATTCAAATTGCTAATGCTGTTCTTTGCATCTAGTGAGTTTATCTCACTGTGGGGGTCTACACTGCACACTGTCCATCCCTTGCTTCACCAGGAATCTCAGCTCTTTGGCTCACCCCTGGATCTTGCCGCACTGGTCAGTTTTACTCTCATTATGTGTCTGCTGCTCCGGTCTAAGAGCATTCGCCATGGCTGCTTTCAGCAATGCTTGGCCTTTGCTCTAAAATACCTCCTCTCCTTCTCCGTTCTACTCCTTCCTGACCCCCCCCCCAACCTCTGAAGCCTTCTTCAGCATCCCAGAGGCACACCCACTTTCCTTCTAGCTAAGATGAGCATCTAGGAACTGTCTGGATTATTAGAAACACCGATGATCTCATGGTATGCTGTAGATGTAACCAACTGTCTTATTAAATAAGAAACACAGAACCAATGCAAAGAAGAAAGCCAAGAGATCAGAGCTAAGAGCCTTACCCGTCTACTGCAGCTAGCCTCTTCAGCCAAGAGAGAGCTACTTCCTGAGTGTTTGTCTTTATATAGACTTTCTGTTCTGCCTTCTCATTGGTTGCAAACCCAACCACATGACCTCCTTGTCACTGCCTGTCTGTACAGACCTCCAGGTCTTCTATGGTTGATATTGAGATTAAAGGCATGTGTCTCCAATGCTGGCTGTATCCTTGACCACACAGAGATCTACCTAGCTCTGCCTACCAAGTGCTGGGATTAAAGGTATGCGCCACGAATGCCCAGCTCTGCTATGGCTTGCTATTAGCTCTGACCTCCATATAACTTTATTTATTAACATACAAATAAAATCACATTTCAGTACAAATAAAATATCACCATAGTATGCTAGCTCAGAAGCCTTGGCTGTTGTTTGCAAATGGCTAGGATTTTCTGACTTAGTTATTGAAAACTAATTTCCATCCTTTTAAACTGTATTTCTTAGGATGGAGTCAAGTATGACCTTTCCTGCATAACATGCTCACAAAAGAGAATCACGCTTACTTGTCCATGACACATGCACCAAATGAATAGATGATATTTCTTAAGACTGAAGATGATTCTAAATGTTCTCACAGCACATCTCAGCACAGCTTTTTGGTGTAAACTACATGTCTTGATTTCATTTATATGACTAACAATTTTTTCCCCTTCAGATTAGAGGGAAAAAAAGTAACTCAAGTGTTCTGACTTGTGTGATGTAGACCCAGAATCCATCTGAAAAACTCTCTGAAAATCTGCATTTATAATTTTTTAAATGCTACCATGGTGGGTCAGTATTAACAAGGGAAGAGTCAATATGAAGAATGTCTCTCTCCCTTCACACACCTGTGTCCATTTTACATATGAATCCCTTTTTGTCTTCACATGAGGTCAACTGCCATACTCCTTCAGGGATCCTTAGGGCAACACACGGATGGGGCTTGAGGTGGTCTATAGTTGGCTTCCGAATGCCCCAGTTTGACTGGTCTGTGGGTGTTCCATCAAACCACCTTAAGGTTCCATCTGTGGAAAGATTGCTGATTATGAATTTTGAGCATGATTCCCAAGCTAAGATTGGGATAAACCATAAAAGTAGGCCCCAAATTTAAGGAGGCACATTAAAAGTATGTTCATGAACAAAACACAAAAAAGGTATCTATCCATTAAAAGTTGCCTCTGGTGCAACTCTCTATTTTAGATACAGGTATCTTGTTTCTTAATATCCTGGTTTGAGTTTTGAAATAGTCCACACATTTCTAACCAATTTAAATAAATCACATAGTAAATGAAATGAAATTAATTAATGTATAGAAAATCCCTTGAAACACAACATCAACCCCATAACAAAAGGGTTCATTTCCTAAAGCTATTATAATGCTAGACGTGGTTCAGTGGGAAAGTCCAGCCCATATATGGTCAATAAGGTGTGTATGTGTAGGGGGTGGGTATACTGTCTGAAACGATTATAAAACTAACAATAAAGTGAAGTACAAGGCAGCTTGCTTTTGATTGTCACCATCTGCTAGAAATTCAGACCATGTCCAGGATTAAAATGCTCCTTGCAAGAATGGGCTCTGCCCCCTCCTTCCTACACCACGACAACACTCTCTCCATGCCAATTCAAATACTTTTCTTTACAAGTACCTTTCGATAACATCCATTACATAAAGAAAAGAATAGTGTGACTCCAATTACACACGCTGGTGTTTATGAGTAGTATATAAGAATTCAAAAAGCACAGTTTATCATTGAAATGGCTTCCTGACTCTGCTTTGCAACACTTAAGGGAGCGGGGCATTTTGCCATCCTGAGCCTGGGGACACAGTTGGAGTGAGCATTTTCCCAGTCAGTATGAAGGTTAACTTGTCATTTGTTTGTTTGGGGGAGGTGGCTTTAGGATTCACACTACACTTTCACAGCGAATGTGTCCGAGAGAGTTCTGTGGCTCCCAGAGGTCTGAATGCCTGCGTATGTATTGACACCTCCTCTGCACCCACATCACTTACTGTTACTATCAAACTGAGCATTCAGCCAAACCATCTGGACAGAAGAACTAAACGCAAGAAGCTCTTCCAGGAGAAACAAGTTTTCAGCCTCATCTTTGATCGCTAAAAGACCAGATCCTGCAAAAGAGACAAGCAGCCACTGAGCAAGGTAAATGCAATTAAAAAATGTTTCTGTGCCCTGTTTTGTGAAACTTGGGCTTTTAAAAATCAACATTACATTCCTCAATACATTTTTATTTTCCCCTCTGGTGAAAGGAAGGGGGCTAGAAGCTCAGGACCTTGCCATGTTAGGCATGTGCTCTCCCACTGAGCTCCAGCCCAACGCCACATTTCTGTTGTTAAAATGGGGTTGGTGGGGAGACAGCTGGGTTGGTGAAGTTCTGCTGACCATACATGAAGACCCAAGTTTGGATCCTCAGGACTCAGGTTAAGAGCAGGGCTGGGGAGGCAGAGACAGGAGGATCCCTAAGTCTTGTTGGCCAGGTTCAGGGAGAGAGCATGTCTCAAACATATCAGATGGTGAGTGAGTGATTGAGGAAGATACCTGGTATAACTCATATACACACAGGCTCTTCTCAACACACACACACACATACACACACACACACACACACACACACACACACACACACACACACACACACAATTTTAAAGTGATTAAAAAGAAAAGAAAAGAACAACAAAAAGAAGGTCTCATTATGTAGCCTGGCCTCATTATGTAGCCTGGCTGGCTTGGAACTTACTATGTAGATCAGGCTGCCCTTAAATTCATAAAGATCTGTCTCTGTGAGTATTAGGTAGCCTGTGCCACCATACCCACCTAAAATGTCATTTAAGACTTTTAAGGTGAAATTACATTTATAAAACTGTATAAGCTTTCACTTAGAAAGCTAAAATACTGATGATCCAGTTTAGAGAACATTAAAAATTCATAATGCACATGGCTTCAGAAAGAAGAATTTTGTGGGAAAGCTGTGCACTGAGGCACCATCTCGGGTTTTCCAAGTCTGCACTGGAACATGGATCGCCTGTGGTAGCTGTCCCCCCAATAAGCAAATTCAATAGTGTTTTTTCCCCCAGTAGTTTTCATGGCTCCTAAAGTCACTGGATGATCAGCATGTGAGAAAGCACACTGTTTACTGAGATGTCAAGGAGTACATGAAAGCGTTTTAGTGCCGCAGAAGAATTACCTTCTCTTTTGCAAAATTCATGAGCATCCTCGAAACTCCTGCTGTCCAGGACTGTAGAAAAACTGTAGCAATTACCTTTAAATTTTATCCAGGGAACTGATGTTTCTGGGCATAGCACTGGGTGCTGAAATGCCTTTGTTTCTATGGAGAAAAAACAGGCATGATTTCAGGCTGGTGCCTGGGCTCATAGGCTGAGATAACCCTTATTTGACATTCAATGAAAGGCCAGAATCAATGCATGCATTAAGATTTTCATGATAATACCCCAAAAGACTGGATTTGATGTCAAGGATTACAAACTAGGGTTAGGTTCTTGTATTTCTGTTAGAAATACTCTTTACCTAAACATGCAGAGTGTGTTAATAGATTTCTTTGTTTACTTTTGAGTGTGCCTGGAGAAATGCTGTCTACTGCTATCCTAAAGCCTGGGGCATCAGGGAGATGCAATTCATAGAGGAACTGGTAGCTGAAAGATGCTGGGAAAAGGATGTCTAACTATATAATACATGTCCTATGCAGGGCTAGGTGTCACGGATTTCTAAAATCCTTACTTATCAGTAAGCCTATGAGAGAATAGCACATTCAGCAAGTATCACAATGAAACACAACATGAAATAAATAAGCAAAGTTTGAGGGGGCTTTCCTTGCAGCACCATACATGAGAGTCAAATACATCCATGCTGAGATCCTGGCCGCATTGCTTCCTAGCTGTGTGGCCTTGGGCATGTCGCCCTGTGCTCAATTTCTTTATAACAGGAAGCTAACAGCAATATCACCCTCTCCCCCAAAACAATTCGAACGGTTTAGATGTGTTAATGTCTGGCCTTTGTTATTTATTTCATTTATTACTGTTCTATAGATAAGTGTGTATGAGAGCGTGTGTGCCACGGCACGGGGGCTCAGAGGAGTCAGTTCCTTCCTTCCGTGTGCGTTCTGGGGATTGAACTCAGGATGCAGGCTTGCTCTGAAGCACCTTTTACCTGATGAGCCATCTTGCCATCCTGTCTGGCACCTCTTAAAAGTCTACAATAGATGTGTACATTTTATCAAAAAAGGAAAGAGACATATGGTATTTTAGAGGAATTAATTTTGCTATATGTATATATATTTCTTACGTTTCCATATGTGTATACATGCATATAGGCATCACTTATGTTTAATCCTGAATTGTTTTCATCTACAATTATGCACAGCATGTGCACTATTTGTAATGGTATCCAGAATAGGAGTAAATGATGCAGTTCTATGAAATGAGAGATTTAAAAGGAGATCAGAGGGGGAACTCGTGGTGTATATGACAGCAACAAAGAGACCCAGGCAAACAGGATAAAGCATGCCAGAGGGTGAGGAGACAGAGCCTATTCTTGGTACTGCTGATGGCTGGAGCCTCGGGAGTCTGTTTAATGCTCTCAGTTAAGTTTCATCTCCAGTAAAGGAGTGGGTCAGCTGAACTTCATATAAATGGGGTAGTATGCAAAGTGTGGGGTAAGGCATGTAGTGAATGTCCGAGCAGTATCAGCTACCACCGCCACAACCATTGCTCAAGAATCTACCACTATTGTCTTAAACATAAACCCTTGGTTCTTCACACAAGCTGAAGCACACCTTTCTAGTGTGGCTGCCCGTCTTTATCTTACTCTAACCCGAGACGCTGGCAAACTCCAGCCCAGCTTTGCCATTGGTATCCCTCTGTCTTTGTCTAATCTTCTCCCCTCAGGGTGCTTCTCTGTGTTCTGTTACCGCCCATCAAGCCATTCTTCAAGCTCCATCTTCATACACTGCCATGCCCTGCAAGCCCTTCTTCCTTCCCCCAGATAGATAGGATGCTCTTTTAAAAACAACCAAAATGCATTTCTTATGCTGCAGGCAATGGTGGGGATGGCAGCAGCATCAGAAGAACACAATGCATCCTCTTCTTGATAATCCCTCTTTCCGCATCTTCTAGCCATGCCCACTGTGACAGCTATTTGTTTTCATATCATAGACCAGCCTACAGGGTCTGGGACTTTTTTATTCCAAGGGCTGGGACTTTTTCTTATTCACGATCATATTCCCTGCTGAGCACAGTCATGCACACAACAGTCATGTAGCACAGGACATGTTTGTTGAGTTGAATAGACTTGTACTTACCAGTGGGTACGTGACAAATGGCGCCCTGCAGGAATGACTCACAGGCTGTGCTGTGCCAGCGTCCATTAGTGTCAGCAAAAACACAGTCACCAAGAAAGGTTGACTCCTCATCCTTCCAGTAGGTGAAAGGGGATCTAGTGCCATCTGACCAGTCAAAATTAACACCGTTCTGCAGAGGGGATTTGAAGCATCATTTCATTGCCAAGACTTGCTGGAATCACCCAATGCTACCCAAGCATCCACTCCTTCCAAATTCTACACTTTCCCCCCAAAAGAACCAGAGGTTGTGAATGGAATAGAGTTTGCATTTCAGTAATTCAAGTGTGTAATACTCTTGTTTTTAAAAAACAAAAACAACAGAGAACAAAACAAAAACAAAAAATCAAACTCATACAAACAGAACTCTGCATGTTATATTTCAAGGGTAGTGAATTAATTAATAATAAAGTTTCTGAGCAGGAAGCAACAATCATTTGTCATGGAGATTCTGGAAATCTAACAAATTACCCAAACATGGTACTCGAGTTTTGAGATGTGTTTCATTGCATAAATGAGTCAGTACTCAGGATGCTTGAGAATTTTCAAAGGACCCATGGGGGCATTATATTTAAAAATCAGGCAAGTGCATGTTCATCCTAAAAAGACGTATGCTCTTGTTTTGTAGCCTCAGGATTCTCAAAAACAAAACAAAACAAAACAAAACAAAACACAACACAACAAACAAATGAACCTGAAAACAACAACAACAACAAAATCCCCAGTAGTTTCTGTATAAACCAATGGTTGAAATGATACATTTACTACTGTGTCTGGGAATTATTTTTGCGTGCTGATTCCAGTGGTTGTCTCACTAAGGAAGTAGACAGAAACTTTGCAAAGATGACTGGAGGAGCTCCGAACACCTACGTCTGTGGTGGAGAGTCCAATCCAGTGGGCGTAGCCCAGCCTGCTGAGGAGAACGGTGAGGAAGGACTGGTGAAAACTGTCTGTAATGCTGGCCAGTTCTGCTCTGTGCATCCGGCAGGTTCTTCCTGCTGTGTACCAAGTCATATTAGCACGGATTATTTTGTAAGTTCTGTTTCCAAATTCCAATGTACTGGGGACTGAATGCATCTCAGACACGTTTCCATGGTATTCTGAGGACATGAGGACAATGACAAAATCACTTGTAGTATCTGGACCACAGAGGAGGAGGTCAGACTTAACATTCATCTTTGTCACTAATATCGACATTGACCAGAGCTTTTCTTCCAGAAGTGATGAATTCAAAATAATGACACTACACTTCGAAGTATGTGTGATGCTAGGGAATTGGAACATTGTGGTGGTTTGAATGACAATGGCCTCCGTAGGCTCATACATTTGACTGCTTGGTCCCTAGTTGGTGGAACTGTTTGAGGAGGACTAGGAGGTGTGGCATTATTGGAAAAGGCATTGCTGTGGGATGGTCTGTATGTCAAATCTGTTGCTCTGATTGGTCAATAAATGAAACACTGATTGGCCAGTGGCTAAGCAGGAAGTGTAGGCGGGACTAACAGAGAGGAGAAAAGAAAGAACAGGAAGGCAGAAAGACACTGCCAGCCGCCGCCATGACAAGCACCATGTGAAGACTCTGGTAAGCCACAAGCCACGTGGCAAGGTATAGATTTATGGAAATGGATTAATTTAAGCTATAAAAACAGTTAGCAAGAAGCCTGCCACGGCCAGGCCATACAGTTTGTAAGCAATATAAGTCTCTGTGTTTACTTGGTTGGGTCTGAGCGGCTGTGGGACTGGCAAGTGACAGAGATTTGTCCTGACTGTGGGCAAGGCAGGAAAACTCTAGCTACAAAGATATGCTATTGGGGGTGGGCTTTGTGGTTTTAATAGCCATGCCATTTCCAGTCCTCTCTGTCTATCTGTCTTTCTCTCTGTCTCTCTCTCTGGTGTGCCTATGTGAGCTTTCTCTTTAATATATGTGCATTTCTCTTTTTTGTCTTATATTATGCTGTATCCACAGAATAGCCTAAATGTAGGAAAACAAAGTGAAAATTTCTGCACTATCTGATCTAGAATGAATTTAGTCCCTCTTGCATACTAGGCTGAAAACTAAAATCAGTAAGTGGTTTGGGCTTATTAAAGGGCATGCTGAGATGTGAATGGCTGAAGGCCTGGACTTCATCCCATTCCTGACCCTACCTGGCTAAGAGTCCTGGAGAAAATTAGTCCTTCTAAAGCTTAAATTTCAGGTCTATAAGAACTGACAAGGTCTTCCTTAGAAGGATGTGTACAGAATTCTTGCCATACTCATACAGCACATGCCCTATTGCATCCGGGACACACCAAACACCTAATAAATGTTGCTCCTCACTCCCCTCTCCTGTTTTTGTTATGTTCTTCACAATAAAAATGGCAAAGTGGGAAGCCACCTTTTGCCTTTGTTACTGCTCCTTGACTCAGAAAGCACACACAATAAAACCTAAGCAAAATGAGCCTACTTATTAATTAACTTGTGATGCACTTGGTCACCTGCGTGTTTTTTGCTGGAAGTCTGTTGGCCAGCCTCTGCTCCCAGTTTATGGTTAGTTATACAAAATCTATATGATACCAAAGTGCTATTTCAAAATGACAGTTAGTACAATAAGGTAACTGAATTTTTCTTTTTGTTTCGTTCCACTGGGTTATACCGTTGCTTTTATTCATAGGGATTTCTCCCAGTGCAATTAATCTTTTCAAGTTTCAAAACAGAGCACACATGATTTTGAGCAGCATGGTTTTGCAACTCAATATCCTGGAGAAGAAATATCTATGGAAATAGTTATTTCCAACTGTTCAGTTCTCTCTCTCTCTCTCTCTCTCTCTCTCTCTCTCTCTCTCTCTCTCTCTGTGTGTGAAATCATGCCTGTGTGTGCCATGGCACACATGTGGAGGTCAGAGGACAGCCATGGATGCTGCTTCTTCTCTTTATTTGAGTCAAGACCCTGTTCCGCTGTGTTTCTGCTGTTTTTTTCCATGTTAGCTGGCCCATGAGCTTGAGGGGATCCTCCTGTCTCTGCCCTCCATCTCCCCGAAGGAGTTTTGGGATTATAGGGGCTTACACCATGCACCTGGCTTTTCCATGGGTCCTGGGGATTCAAACTCAGGTCTTCAAGCTTGTACGGCAAGTTCTTTCACCCCACTCCCCCAGCAACCTCCTCTGGCCTCTGTCACTCTCTTTATTAATCTTTCCTTCCTTCCTTCCTTCCTTCCTTCCTTCCTTCCTTCCTTCCTTCCTTCCTTCCTTCCTTTCTTTCTTTCTTTCTTCTTTTTGATTTTTATTTTTTGAGACAGGGTTTCTCTGTGTAACAGCCCTGGCTGTCCTGAAACTCACTCTGTATTCCAGACTGGCCTCAAACTCACAGAGATCCGCCTGCCTTTGTCTCCCAAGTTCTGGGATTAAAGGTGTGTGCCACCACCACCTGGCTTATTCATATTTCTTTGTTCTTTCAGGAACAGAGCAATTTTTGGCTCAAGTCCAATATAAGCATATATTTATGTGGAAAATATAGAACGTTCATTGTATCAAGAATTAAAGTTTAATAATATTTTTCAGACATAATAATTTTTAAAAACTGTCATTTGTTAACCATATGCTGAGAACTATGCTAATCTTGATATGCACATATGAAATAGTTCTTACCTCATTTTACAGAATTGAAATCAAGGTTCCTAGACGATCAAGTCATTTGACTGACGCTTATGGAAAGAGGTGAAGAGGGGGGGGGCTTGTGTAGCCAGACATCAGGCCTGTGCTCTCCCCCTCTGCCCTGCCCTGCAATGCCACCAAAGGAGTGCCCACATTGTTTGTCCCCAAGTGCCAAAGCAAGCAATCCGCGGGTACATTTGAGAAGAGGTCAGCGTTGCAGAAATAGAGTCACTATATTTAACGGAAATACTCTTTTCTTTTGTTTCATTTTTTGAGACTAAAGTTCCTTGTCTATAGACTGGGGAGACTTTGACCTACTTCCTGGAATGGTCTTGAAGGTTTTATGGCACAGCGTTCATAAACCCAAGGCATGGTGCCAGGCACAGGGACACGCAGCAGGTAGTGAAAGCAAGAGCTGTCTTGGCTATTTGTATTATTCAAGGTCCCTCAAGGACAATCACACTGCTCCTTTATCCCACTGGATATATGTGATCGTGTGACACTTTCATTAGGATCTTCAAGGTCTTCCAAAGGCCCAGGTATCCCAGCTGTGAGCCCCAGAGTGGCGACACTGGAGCTGATAGAGCATTTAACAGGTGAGGCCCGGTCGAAGGTCATAGGTCACTGTGCATGCCACTGAGGGGAATTATGGGAGCGTACACTCTTTCCTATCCATTTGCCTCCCAGGAATGAGTTCAGTGGCCTTGTTCTGCTCCCTGATTCTCCATAGTGCTCTGCTCTTGGCACAGCCCCAAAGCAGTGGATCTGACCTTCAAAATTATTATGCCAATACAAATCCTCTCTTTATATTTCAGATATTTTGTTACAGGGAGGGGAAGCTATCACATATGGCTTTGATATTACACTCCAGAAATCATTAAGGAGCTTTATCTGCCTGATCTAGAAATATACCACATGTTATATTTAGCCACAGATACTACTTTTGGAGTTTAAAAAAAAAAAAAAGAGTGAGTGTGAATTGGTTTATTTTTATGACTTTTGCTGTTCTTGTTTTGAGTCAGGATCTCATGCTACAGCCCAGGCTGTCCTTGTTAAGTTTTTTATTTGTTTGTTTGTTTTTGTTTTAAATCTCAGTCTTCCTTGTGCAAGGAAGGGTTACAGGCATAAGTTAAGCCAGTTCCTCATTTTTCTTTTTCTTTTTTGTTTTTCGACATAGGGTTTCTCTCTGTAGCACTGGCTGCCCTGGAACTCACTCTGTAGACCAGGCTGGCCTCAAACTCAGAGATCTGCCTGCCTCTGCCTCCCTAGTGTTGGGATTAAAGGTGTGCACCACCACTGCCTGGCTTCAGTTCCTCATTCTTTTTCAACATTCTGGGTGACTTTTAAAACTTGCCACAATAGACTATGTTTGGATCTAGTGTCAGTGTTCTCTGCAAAGTGGTATATGTTGGAATTTAATCCTCCATCTGGGAAATTAAGTGGGTAGAGACTTATCTGACTGTGAAGTTCAGAAGTAGGGTCTCTGGAGGGTGACCAAGCTGAAGTAAGGCCACAGGGTCCCCTGATGGAATCTTGGTGGCTTTCACTGGAGAGAGGGACCAGAATACACTCACCCCAGTCTCTTGCTATTTAATGTGACATCTTGGAAGTCTGGCATGAAGATGACCATCAACAGATGTCATTACTTTGACTTCAGAGCAGAACTGTGAGCCAAGAGAAAGTGTTTTTCTTTGTGCTAATGATAACATCACAGTATGGGAAAATGGACTGGTGTAGATGTAGAACATAGGAGTAAAGCTATTTAATGGTCCTAGGGTTGGCGGATCAACTTGGTTATCTGTCGGATGGTTTCTGCAGTCCTTAGAACGCGGTTGAAGGGCATAGTCCTAAGAAGTGGTGGTGGTGGGACGACACATGGCTAAACATACCTAAATACAGAGGACAAGAAATCATACTGTTACTGCAAAGCTGGTAGACAACAAGTGTGGAAGGAAGGATAGAAGTAAAAGGAATAAACCCCAGTTATTTCTTACCTTGCATTTTTTCACAAACAAATCCATAGCCTTCTTTTCCACAGTCATCAAAAAACCATTTTCCGGTGAAATGAAAATTATGATTACTTGACATCAGAGCACAGAGAGGAACATGCGTCTGAACTTCAGAGGTGTTATAACTTGGGATCTTTAAAGGAATACATATGTTATAAAAGTATGGTGACGTAACATTCTTGTCACACTGAAAAATTCTATTTAGGGCATAATTTTAAAAAGTAAAACACCATTATTATCTTATTTACATCTAATTAGAACCAATTCAGAAATCTCTTCCTAGCCTCCAAGATAAACAATCATCATGATGTGTAGTGTAATTGTGTTAATGGTATGCATGAAGCTGTTATAATGTTACATTATTAAAAATTAACATATGGCTAGTAAACTAATATAAATTTATAGCTTTAAAACACAGAAAGAAAAAGTTTTAGTCAGTAAGTCTCCGTTTTGATATCATGTTAAATTGATGTTAAAAAAATAAATCTTGAGGGTCTTAGAATACAGAACAATGGTTGAAGTGTACCATTATTTGATCCCCAGTAAACCTTGCCCCCAGTAATTCTTTTTTTTTGGTTTTTTTTCGAGACAGGGTTTCTCTGTGTAGCTTTGCGCCTTTCCTGGGACTCACTTGGTAGCCCAGGCTGGCCTCGAACTCACAGAGATCCGCCTGGCTCTGCCTCCTGAGTGCTGGGATTAAAGGCGTGCACCACCACCGCCCGGCTGCCCCCAGTAATTCTTAAAACTTACATTTATTATGTCAGATGGAGACCAGTTAGAATATACCACAGGCTTCCTATTCACCCACTTCTCGTGATCATCACTTTGTAAACCTATCCACACATCCGTAGTCTGGCCGAAAAGATGCATAGTAATAAAAGCTGGAAGACAAAAATACATTATCTAATAATAGCACACAAATCATTGGGTCGTCATCAAATGTTGTTCATAGAAAGGACTGTATTTAAATGACAGCGAAACTTCATATGAATCAATTGTAGGAACCCCTTACTTAGTTCTCATTATGACAATACAGCGTCTTTCATTTTGGTTTCAGTTTAAATTGACTGAAATTAGCTGGGCAACCTGAGATTTCATCAGATCATTTAGCAAAACAATTTCCAGTGTTCACTTATGACTTTTTTTTAAACAGAAGTGGATTAATGTATCATATTGAAAAAGAAGTACGCAGAAGTATGCAATTGCCTAAGGTTCAAGTTAAAATGTATAGGTGAACTCAAAATGATCTTTAAAAGGCTTACCATGTAATTATAGTAGATATTCCTGAGAAATTACTTTAGCCATTCTAGAACACACGAAACATGTCCTTATTCTCTCCAGTGTAGCCATCCAGTTAAAGCCTCTTATGTCTGTAGTTTTTAGGCAGCCTACTGACTCTCACAGATGTCATGGCAGAAACCTTTATGCTCAACCTGAAATTTCCTGTATCTTAGCAATACAGTGTTTTAAATGTTGATTTGTAAATGAGAGTTTGGGGGTGATGTTTTGATTAGTACTAGAATGACAGTGGCCATTTTGGCTTGGTGGAAACCTTGGACTCTACCTTGTTCCAGTTCACTCTCAATGGAGACCAGTGTCCCGCCCTGGTCAACACAGAAGTCCTGAGCACCTGTCCAGGTCTTCAGCTCGTGAGTGTCTTTGGGAATCATCACCAGGAAGCACTACGAACGACAACACAATGTGTTCATTCCCGCACTGTTGTACGTGAACTAAAACAATTTCCCAAAGGCACCGAAGGTCAGCCTTGGAAATGATAATTTTCTTAGGCAGAGAACTCATCCATCTTCCGCCAGCTCTGTAGGCATTAATGAAGCTGCTTTGGGGTGAAGAGCGATTTGTCTCATTCACATGAGGCAGAGAGGAAGCAGGGATGTGTCTGTCATCCGGAATGACAGCAGAGTCTCTGCTAGGTGGAGAAGGGCAGGAGACTCTTCCTAGGAAGGATCCGGTCTGTTTGCAAGGTTTTCAGTAGGGATTTAGTCTGAGAAGGAAGGGGTGGCTTGGCTTAGACGTCATCTATGAGCAGAGAGATGAGAGATGGAAGGACGAGGAGGATTTAAGTTCACTAGAAGCTCAGAGGCAGCCATTTAATAGAGAGCACACAGGAAGTTACAGGAGAGGGAGACCGGAAAAACAAAGGAGATAACTGGGAACAAGCATCACCGCCGATGCTAAATGGAACACAAAAACACAGGCTGAATCTTCACAATGAGAGGGGCAGCTTTGACAAAAACTTCTGTATTATGTCCCACACATCATGGTCAGAGGACAACTCCGAGGAGTCAGTTCTCTCCTTCCACTGTGGGGCCCAGGGAGGAGACTCAACTGTCAGTCAGGCTGATGAGGTAAGCGCTTTACACACTGAGCCACATGGCAGGCCCGTGACTGTCGTGGCAGAGGTTTCCTTGCTGTGAGATGGGATGAGAATCGGAATGAGCAACGTGCCCACCTTGCTCACTAAAATGGAGACACGGCAGGAACAGCTGAAGTAAAGGCATGAGGGAGAAAGAAGACCACGGTGCTAACACTCAGGAGAGACCTCGTGCAGGGACATTCCACCCAGGACTCTCGACACTCAGTTGCCTCCTCAGTGAACATAGCCAACCCTAGTCATTGGCAGGTCTGACCCCAGGATCGAGCTACAGAGAAAATTTCAAACGTACCCCAGTTTATCCAGAAACTCAAGGAGTTTGCTACCTTTCAAGTCTTAGTTTGGGATGGTGTTCTTCTCCCTTATTCTCTCATTTCTAATCTGTCAGTTATCACCCCCTCCTGACCACCATTACTCCAGAAAAGCAGAGGCAGTCTTTTTGGTACAACATCAGGGATAATCCCTAAAAACCATCTATGAGCTAAAAGAATGGACTGTGAAAGGATTGTCAATTTCAAGCCACTGAATGAGGCAGGAACCTTGGAGGGGAACCATTCCATTAAAATAGCATTTACATATCTTTTCCTTTTTTTTTTTTTTTTTTGTCTCAAGACAGGGTTTCTCTTGTGTAGCTTTGCGCCTTTCCTGGAACTCACTTGGTAGCCAGGCTGGCCTCGAACTCACAGAGATCTGCCTGCCTCTGCCTCCCGAGTGCTGGGATTAAAGGCGTGCGCCACCACCGCCCGGCTCTTTTCCTTTTTTTTATATTCTCCAGTTATAGCACAGTTGAGATGGCTCAATGGGACATAACTTGTCGAACAAGCATGCTGACTGGGATTTGGATCCCCAGAACCCATAGAAAAAGCCAGGTTTCCCTGGGGCTTTCCACTCGTAATCCCAACAAGCAGGAGGTAGAGTGTGCATCCTGGAGCAAGCTGGCTCCAGGAAAGCTAGCCAATATTGAGAGCCTGCCTCAATATACAAGGTGAAGAGCATTTGAGGAAGGAAACCAATGTCAACCTCGGGCCTCCACAGGAATATGGACACACATACACACAAGTATATAATCATGTGTACTTACACACACGCAAGCACTTGTACACACACTCACATGATGCATTTAAAAACAAAGAAAAGTCCGTACACATTACTGACCCCATAGAGGCACTCTATCCCATTTTTTTGGGCACTTAAACTTGCCTCACTCACTACAACATTGAACCAGAGTGTTTGTGTCCTCCATCTGTGAGACATTGAACTGAACGCGCCCAGAAATGGCCATGTCCTCTCTCTACCTTAACCTTGTAAATGATGTGCTCTATGACCTTGAGCTAAGCATGTCCAGAAATGGGTCCATCACCTTTTCTTCTTAGACTATAACCTTACACTGAGCATGCTCGTGAATATGCCCACTTAATAGTGCTTCTCCGGAGGAGGAGGAGGAATAGACTCTACTGAGATCACCACACTTCCATTCCCTGAGGAGAGCAGCATTCTGGGGACAAGCCCAGTGCTCTCCTTAACAGGAAACAGGTCCTTCCTGCTCTTACCTCCCGCTTGTGTTCCTGGTTCAGCACTCTCCCAGACACCAACTCTCAGCAGTCAATTGTACAATGACACTCTCAGGCATTCTAGACTTAACACAGTTCACACACACACACACACACACACACACACACACACACACACACACATCACAGTTTTCATTCTTGTGGATATTTTGACAAAGTCTGGGCATATTCTTAGTTATTCTTAGCTCAGGAAGAGTGGTCACTGGCGTATATTTGCAGATGGAGACTAGGACGTGACCAGATACAGTCATGAGCGATCTTACCATTTTTCCACAACAAAGAACTATCCAACAGTGCCAGGGCCAGTTTCCCCAAAACTCAGTTCTGACGATGTCGTCCTTTAGGGCTTCAGGGCTTTTTACAGCTTTTAGGGTTAAAAGCCAGAAACTGTAATGTAGCCCAAGTTACCAATCAAGAGAGGAGTGGGGTTCCAAGTCTCCCGCATACCTCTTTCTTGTTTGCTTCACAAAGAAACGAAATTGGCTTTAAAGGAGTTCCTTTTTATAACAACTACCCTTTTATCTGTTCCTTTTTATTCTGCTTTTTTCCTTCTAATTACAAATCCCGACGAGTGGCACACACTAATTATTTCGAAGTCTTATCATTTAATGCGAGTTCACCCTGTATTCAGATAGTCACTAATGAACCATTCATAAATACCAGTAACTCTTGCTGGCTCCATTTGCTCCACCCTTCTTTGCAGGAAAACTTCACTACCTTACATGTTTCCCACAGCCAAGATTTATTAGTTTGACAGTGGAAGTATGGCTTCCCATTACCACAGGCTTGTTTTCCTAAAATACACTGTATTTACCAACACACTCTGAAACAGTGTCATTAATAATTAAGGCAGAACAGCTGGAGGAAGGAAGGCATCCTCGATTTTAACTTGTTTACCTTCTGACAAATTTTCAAAATGTGATCGAGTTTTACACGTCTCTGATCATAACTGTGAATTAAGGAGGCCCTATAATAGTCCAAATGGGCTTGGAATAATAAGAATTTCTAAAAGAATACCAAAAGAATTTCTAGTCAATATTTATCAATAGAATCTATAATATTTCCTCCAAATTTGGTCTTTTCTCTCTGTTTTCCTTCTCTGATTGAATGTTAATGTCTGCAACTTTGTGGATATCCTTACTCTCTCATCCTTCTCTGCCTTAGATGCCACCAAAGGAGCCATTGGCATCAAACCAAAGAAGGTCTGAATTAAAATGTACAAAGAGCGTGCGCGCACCCCCCCTCCCCCCGCCACACACACACACACACACACACACACACACGCACACACACGGGAAAGAGGTGAGGAGAAGAGGAAGAAGATAGAGGAGACCTCCCTCTTGGCCCTGCTGACTAACCCTTCCTAGGGTGACATTTTGTCAGCCCTGCCCATATGTCTTTAAGCTACATTATCACACATGGAGAAGATGGTTTATGAGTCATTGGAAAGGATGCTTAGCTTCCAGATAACTTGGTTTTTAAAACTCTAAAAAGGCAATTAACTTGTCAGCTGAGTGTTTTAAAGTAATAAAAATTAGTCCTTGGAAGAGTTGACGAAGAAGTGGGGAGTATAATGGCCATAATGTACTGAAGCTTGTTCAGAACTCATCTCCACTTTTCTTTCTGAAGCCTTAAGAGTTAATGGGGGAAATGGTCCAACAGTGCTTATTACTTCTCTCAGCAACAATCCTTTCTTCCCTGGCTTCCAGGCTGTCTGAGTAAGCCACGGACACCGTCCCTTCTTATCCATGGTTTTCACTTCATCGGTTTCAATCACTCATAGTGACAGGCAGTGACAATAAAGGTAGGATGTGTGTGTATGTGGGAAAGAGAAGGGACAGAGGTCAGAACAGAGACAGGAGGCAGCCCCTTAATTCTGTCATAAGACATTGTTTTCTTTTGTTACTGGTTACTGTGACTCTTTCTCTTTTAAAAGATTTATTTATTTTTATATATGTAGGTTAGTACCCATGCCTGAGGAGTCCAAAAGAGAGTGTCAGATCCCCTGGAGCTAGAGTTAAATGTAGCTGGGAACCCCCATGTGGGTGCTGGGAGCAGAACTTGTGTCCTCGGCAGCAGCAGTACAAGCTCTTAACTGCTGAGACAACTCTACGGTCTTTATGGTTTCCTAACCCACCTCATTTATAAATGGAACTTTATTAAAGTTACACAGTCCTCAGAAGGACCCTCACGTAAAGGCTTCCTCTGCAGTGGTTACATTGGGAGGTGCTGTGGACACGTAAGAGGAGAAGCCTGAGGAGAAGTCCTTAAGAAATCAAGGTGTGCCCTCACAAAGGACCCTAGTCTCTGTTTCTCTGTCCATCTACTCCTTACCCCACGTGTGTTCAAACACTTGCTTTTGGATTCTGTTTTAAAATGAAATTTTGACAAGATAGGCATTTGTTTGTATCTGTGACAACGGACTCTAGGAAGCACTTGTCTAACTAGCCTTGGGTTAGCTCAAGGAACTAATGGTCATATGAAGAAGTAAAAGTCCATCAGAATCCAAATCTGAGCCCAAATTAGATAGGAGAAGATGTAGGGGAAAGTATCTGTGACATGTGATTGGAGGTTGTGTTCTTAGGTGTGATTCCAAAAGCACAAGAACCAGAAGAAAAAGTAGATACACTGGACTTCATCAAAATGATAGACTTCATGCATCAAAGGGCATTATAATTATAAGGGAGAAATCATTATAATTATTAGGGCTAAAAACCTGATGGGAATATATTACACCAAATACTAGAAAGAATTCCTATAATTCAACAATAACAAAACCAAATGACTTAATTAAAACATGGACAAAGGATTTAATTAAACATTTCCCTCCCCCCAAGTACATGAATGAAACCTCCTATTACATATGCAATTGTAAATTGTTTACTTGTTGGGAAAACACATTTGTCAGCTTCTCAAATAGCTAAACAAGAGCATTCTGACTTAGCGACATCTTCCTAAGTGAAGTGAGCCAATCATAAAAGGATAAATACCGCATGTCTCCATGTACAGGATTCATGTTCAGAGAGACAGAAGATATCATGGTAGAGCCATTTACTAAGGAGCCAGGATGTGATGGGGGAAGAACAGGGAGTTATTACTATTTAATGAATGTAGAGTTTCGGTTCTATTAGAAGGAAAAGGACCTGGAGATGCACCGTACAACATACCGATGCTAAACACTCGCAAACCACACACTGAAAATGACTAAGGTAGAAAATGCTATGGTGTGTGTATTTCACCATAATTAAACTAGCCGTGTGTGTGTGTTTGCGCGTGCGTGCGTGCGTGCGTGCGTGCGTGCGTGCGTGCGTGTGTGTGTGTGTGTGTGTGTGTGTGTGTGTACAGAATTCAGGGAACTTTGTTGGCTGAGTTAACAGTGATCACAAGATGGTGAAGAAGAGCGCGCCCGCCGGTGTGACCACCCAACACTTCGATTGAAATCTGCTGTCCACAATTAAAGAGCAATTTCATGTTAGCGTATGAAATTATGACTCCGTTTCATTTCTTAATTCCCTAAGAGTTAAACAATTACCGTTTGGGATTCACTTGAATCACTTCCACCCAAGGCCTGTAAAGTTATTTTATTATAAAACCTAAGGAGTGGACATAAAGTCTCAGCCTCAACGGAAGGCCGCAGCAGAGATCGTAAACCTGGCTGACAGTGTCCCCGCTGGCAAGCTCTTACTCTTAAACTGAATTCTGCGCCAAAGCGTCGGCTTTATGAGGCTCAAGATGAGATTGACCAAATGACATTATTAGTTCATGAGTTTCTAGGTGGGGAGAGTCCTGCTGCTGCAGGGCGGGAAGATGAGGAGGGATGGAATCTGGGCCCTCTAGAGATTACAGTTTCTTTGTGGGCGGGGTCTAGATGTAAAGGGCACACAGGCACACACGGGTGTAAACACACACGTGTGCTACACACACACACACATCATATCTAATGACTCATACAGCACAGGGACATCACTAGTAAAATGGCCTCTACAAACGAGGGGTGGAGGCACAGCTGCCTTGCCCAAAACCTGTTCCTGAAAGTTTGTCCCTGAACGGAAAGCCTCTGAAGTCATTCGAAAATTGTGACAGTGATATCTCAGGTCCTGTGGCTAACTGGTGCTTCAAACAAACAAACAAACAAACAAACAAACAAACAAACAAACAACCCCCCCAAAAAAATACTACCTTTACTTTTAATTACTTTTCAACTGAAGTTCTACAAAAAAGAAAGCAAGGAGACTCTATGAGCAGAAACTTACCTTGTAGTTAGAATACAGCCAGCCTCTGGGGCACGTCCCGTGCTGGACGGGTGGCTTCTCCTTCTCGATGACCCATGTTTTCACTCTCTTACAAATGCTGGGCATGGGAACAGAGCAGTTCTCAGTCCCCCAGAGCCCTGTGGGAGGGGGGGACAGATCAGAAAAGCCACAGGAAGTAGGACAGCCCCTCCACAGTCTTTATGGACCGATGTTCATGGCTGCTATGGTTTTCCACCATTTTATTTTTTTGAAGTCTGGAAACTGAACTAAACTACAAATTACTGAGATCTCTGGTGACACCTCTCTGGGCAAGTGGCCACCTGAGCGATTAGAATGTAAGGATGTCAAAAAACTTTAAAAAAAAAAACAAAAAAACAACAAACAAATGCTATAATTTTTTGAAACAAGATTAATTTAAAGTCCTATGACTATTTGACTCGGGAAGCAAAATAAGACCTCATGGTTTTTAAGTATCCAGCTTCGGCATACAGGGAAAACGATTCTCAGAAAGTAGATCATCATGTCTAAAGATTTTAAAACATTTCTAGACTTTATAATCCTTCTTCAGAAAATGTAGGTTGAATATACCTAATGTAAATATCTAAATCCTAAACCGTTTGAGTGCTGACATGGTGTTTGGAAGCCTCGAGGTATTTCTAGTTTTGGATGTCCAGCTTGGAGACAGCTCACCAGGAAAGCCCCTGTAAACATCCCCAACCTGCAAACACGAAACACTTCTCTTCTTACTCATCAAAAGATGTTCATCTTACACAATAATGTAGGATAATTAAACCGGGAACTTCTCCAAAAGGAGGATTTCTCAGTCTTGACCCTTAAATGAGACAGACTCCCATATGAATGTGTTTTCTGTAAGATAGACCCCCAACTTCCCAGCCTCCTGCAAAACTGTCTTGTAGTTTAGAAGGGCTGCAATTGCAGAGGGAAGGTGACAGGATGCCTGTTAGTACTGAGTCAAAAATGCCAGACAAAGAAGCTGCATTACAATGCAAGGCAGGTCCAGCTTCTTGAATCAGAACAGGAGTAAAAAGACGTGAGCTTCACAGGTGGGGCTGGGCTGTGGTTATCAGTGTGGCTGTTCTTGCAAAACAGTCCTTTCCATAGGCTGTTGTGACACCTGCTGGTAAAGCAAGCGGATTCACCACAGCGGTCCCTACCTCTGCAGAGGCCTGCCCACAGATGATCACTGGCCTCTCTATTTCTCTCCTGACCATGCTAGTTAGGAACATGCTATTTTAAAATTATTTTATTTCATTTTTTGAAAGGGTGGCTGGTATCAGTAGACACTCGGCTAGGCAGCACTGTTCTCAGAACATAGAGAAGCCAGTCTCTAGCCTTCAGATGCCTTTGGATCCAACTTGCAAATAGCTGTTCATTTAAGATGAGCAGGCATTAGTTCCAGAAATAATAAAATATCAATGAACAACAATATTGATAATAATAAACCAGTGAACTGAATGTAAGTTTTAAAAAAAAAAGATTTATTTATTTTTATGTGCACTGGTATCTTGTCCGTGTCTCTGTCTGTGTGAGGGTGTCAGATCCCCTGGAACTGGAGTTACAGACAGTTGTAAGCTGCCATGTGGTGCTGGGAATTGAACCCGGGTCCTTGGGAAGAGCAGCCAGTGCTCTTAACTGGGACCATCTCTCCAGTCCTGAGCATAGGTTTTAACTATACGAAGGAAAGCAGAAGTCAATCGCACAGAGGTTAAAGTGTCAGCCAGTTTCCAAATAGGAAAGTAGAGTTGTATGAAAAATGGCTCCACGCAGAGGTTTCATGGAGAGCCGAATTTACAGGGCATTTTTCTTTTTCACTATATCAAGTCATTTTAACGATTCCACCTTCACAGTTTTGATAATTTACTTGCATTTTCTCCAGTTAGTACACTTTACTTTTCCTCTCACTCATATCTTTGATGCAGTCGCTTCCTGTACATTTTAAGTTCCAGCCCCGCTTCATCCTGGAGTGTTAGCGTATTTCCTTGTAAAATTAGTGAACAGCTCTTAACTGTTTTGGGTAGGGACAAGAAACATCTATTTTGTTTATATTTGATATAGAAGTGCATGTTTGTCTCTGAAGAAAGATTTCTTAATCTCACTATTGTATGTGCATAAGCATTTTGCTTGACAGTCACCACATGTGTGCCTGGTCCCAGAGGAGGTCAGAAGAGGACATTTGATCCCCTGGAACTGGAGTTACAGATGGTTGTGAGCCACCATATGGGTGCTGGGAATAGAAACCGGGTCTTCTGGAGGAGTGGCCAGTGCTCTTAGCCTCTGAGCCATGTCTCCAGCCACAGAAGGGCGTGTCTGTAACAGCCTCAGTAGGCTTACGTTGGTTCTGCTGGCTCGTGAGGACTTACCCACTTGTAAGTTATTTACAGGAATGTGACTGCATGAATTTCACAGGATGAGTGGCCATCCTGAAACCCAATGGCTGATGAGTTTGCACACGATCAACAGAAGACAAAAACAAGCACACAAAGGAGCCTGGCTGCTTCTAGAGGGGTGTGCAGTATGAACCCAGACATGGATAAGTAAAGTAACCTGTTACGGAAGAAATGAAGACACAACGCCGGGTCTCGCTATCCACTCTTTCTTCTCTTCCTCTGTCCCAGTTCTGGAATATCACAGGTGACCCATTACTCCAACTGTAGGACAATTTTGAAAAATTAAAGATTAATTTTTTTTCACATATGTGTCATGTCATATCACTGTGTTTGTGTAGACTTATGCCACATGCATGTAGATGCCCGTGGAGACCAGAAGGAGGCGTCAAGTACCCTTGAGCTGGAGTTACAGGTGGTTTGTGAGCTGCCCAGGGTGGGTGCTGGAAACCAAATGCTGGAAGAGAAGCAAGTGCTCTTAACCATTGAGCCATCTCTCCAGTCCCAGGAAAATTAAAAAAAAGAAATTAGGTCTCATTTTGCGTGTTCAGTATCTGAGTTCAACTTTGTTCTGGGGTATGGACTGAAAGTGTACTAGTTCATTCAATTTGGTTAAGTACATGCAGTATCTTACCTACAGTTAATGCTGCATTGTATACACCAACATTTTCTAACAGTAAAGTTTATGCTGTGTTTTTATCACACACACACAAAACCTGGGAGGCAGAAGCTTTCCCAGGTGATGGGTATGTTTGTGGTGCAGACTGGTGATGGCTCCATTGATACTGACTTAAAAACACCCATGCCTTTGGTTAAAAGAATGACCATTGGTAAGTTAAAGGTAACAGCTGAAGGCTATTCAGCAAACTGGTCACTAAGATCCAGTCCAATCATTCTGTACACATAACTTGTCAAATAATGTTAAATACAGATTAATCTCGGTTCATACTGAATTGGATCACTGGCTCTTCCTTCTTCAATTCCAATCCACCAATTTACACCATACTTTGATAGCTATTAAAGGGAAGAAAGAGAATGTCAGCATTTATTGTTCTTGCTTACATTGTTCCCTATTAAGATCAATGGGGATGCTATTAGCTTTTTATTTACTACGATTATACCTGGTTACATCTGGAGGAGGAGCAACTAAGAGCTAGTGTCTAGAGACAACTTGACATTGCATTGTTCTAAAACACTCCCCGTTCATTATGAAAAAGAGCTGGAATGAACCATTGAAAATATTTTCGGTTTCATTCAACATGAAAAGCCAAATTTCTAACTCTGTACGAAGACATAAAACATAAAAGAGAAGATGGATTCTTTTTCTGACTATAATTAATGGCATCTTCCCTCGGTGATTTAGGGAAGCTCACTGCAGATGTCACATCTATTTGACAAACAAGGTACAAAGACATTAACAGAATAAAGATTTAGAGTATATGTATTAGTCTGTTAAGCTTTAAACAGTGTCAGCATTCAAAGAGAGAGAGACATGGCATAGGACAAAAGAATACTGCAGAATTCCAATGTCTGACAGCTAGAAAATTACCCTTTATCCATTTTATTAATCTAAAGCCAATATTAATCACCCAGCCTGAGCACAGTGAAGTATCAGACGCACACACAAGTACACACTGCACAGCCAGATGTAATGCTGGACTTATGGCCCAGGAAATTGAAGCCTTGCTCCGTAGTCATAAAAGAGGAAGGGGACAGAAAGGATTTCACTGAGCCATCTCATGCCGTGTGCTTTACGGTGTATTTGCTCCCTCTGTGTGTGTATTGAAATTCAAATGAACTTTTACGTGCCAAAAAACCTGTTCATTTTCAGGCATTATGTATTTAAATTTGTACTCTTGTTCCATTTTGAGAAGGCTTGGGGATAAATTTTAAGATATATTATTTATTTCCATATGAATTTCAGGTCATTGTGCAACAGAATGTGATAGCTTGCTAACATTCTAATTTTGAAACGAGTGTACTTTTATTCCTTAAACAGCGTGGCTGTCTGCCAGATCAGCAATTTGGGAATATTGCAAGGGGAAACTACTATAATTTGAGATCCCTGAGGAGCTGTTTCATGGACATGTACCCACACGCTGAATTCAGATTCCCATTTTCAGACTTTGGGATGGCTCTGTTGAAGTTGACTGTGGGTGCAGTGAGAGAACGACAGCCTCATCCCACCTAGAGAAGTCTCATGGGTTGCTGGAGGGTGGTGGCACATACCTTTAAGCCCAGCACTCGGGAGGCAGAGGCAGGCGGATCTCTGGGAGTTCAAGGACAGCCTGGGCTACAGAGTGAGCTCTAGGACAGCCAGGACTATTACACAGAGAAACCCTGTCTTGAAAAACTGAGGGAGAGGGAGAGGGAGAAGGGGGAGGGGAAGGGGGAGGGGGAGGGGGAGAGGGAGAGAGGGCTCATGGGTAACAGCAATCAAAATCATGGCCTGTTCCATGTTCTAATTTAAGACCTTTAAAGAGAGATTGTGACGTTTACATCTTAAGTGGCACAGTTACTACCACCTGAATTAAGGTATGGTAATCCTCTACACAGCACATTATATGTGTGATGTATGTGGTAGAGAACTTCATGGGACAAACTGAAAAATGCCCAGGCCAAACACCCTGGTGTGGAAAGTGAGTATTTTAAATGTTAGCTAGGTATACGGCCACAACAATAGAAACCTAATAACAGATGCTTGAGAGAAGAAATGTAATATGACCAGGCATTTCATCTCTCAGTTACATGTTGGTATGTCCAAGTAGTCCTTCCAGTTAATATTACATGGACAGTCACTTTCCAATGAGATAGAAACACAAGCCAACGTCTCATCCACTAGGTTTCTAAAGTAAAGGCAATCTGTCATCTTTTATGTTTTCACCAGAGTGATCAAGGGCTTTGATTTATTGTAAGGGCTTAAAAATGCCAGATTTTGGAAAATCATGAATTTGATATACTGTCTTAGAAGTGTTTATAAACACAACTTAAAAGTAATAGTGGGTTATTGTTTTAAAATGCAAATGCTGCTGACCACAGATCAAAGGGGCAGCCAAGTGACTGATGGGTGAACCATTCATGTCCTATGACTCTTCAGTACTGGTAGCTTTTAATGTTTCCATCAATGATCAGAGAGAGAAGATTGGTCCTAAGAGAAACATTCAAAGCTTGCCATGATAACACTCTGTGGTCTCTTATCAAAGAGGACAAGGAAACACAAGAATCCTTGAAAAGAAAAATCACTTTTTCAGACTTTAAAAACTGTACCTAGCCGGGCCGTGGTGGCGCACGCCTTTAATCCCAGCACTCGGGAGGCAGAGGCAGGCGGATCTCTGTGAGTTCGAGGCCAGCCTGGGCTACCAAGTGAG